GAATAAAATTCACGCCAAACGGGCTTGTTGCTGAATGAAGTTGGCAGCATGACTGTCACCAAATAGACCTCAGGTAGTGGTATTAAGGGGAGATGCAACAAGCAAACAATATGGCGCCAGGGCTTGGTAAAAGTTGCCGAGAATGAGCAAACAACTATCATCAGTCAAATGAAATTCGTCCGCATGATATAACACCGCGGAAGACCACTGGATCTAGGGGTGCCAAATAACATCCCCATGAGCGTTTCGAAATAATGAATGAATGTACGCATTCAGCGAACGTCGCGTACGCTCAAGGGAACTCTGCTTCAAGGCATGAGGGTAAGTTTGGCGGGGCAGTAACTCGGAATAAAAAATGACAGTATGCGGCAGTGTTTCTCTGGTCAAATTGATGCACTGCCGTGCTAGAATACTCAGTAAATGTTTGTGTACAACCCCAGGTCGGTGGCGCCTATCTGTAGTATGATGACGTCGTGTAGTATCGGAACAGCTGACCACACTTCCAACAGGAAATCGGAAAACTGGAACATCTGGAGTCCTCGCCGTCCCATCTAGTGGATATAGGCCAGCCGATTGAGACGCTTTCCCCAGGGTGATGACCCCACCATTCAGGCACACGAAGCCATTCCCAATGACCCAACACAGTTGGCTTACCAGGGGCCAATTCTCACGAGAAAAATGAAAAGAAAATCAGAACAACAAGTACGAACAAAGTACTTAAGCTAATACAACATGTAGCGTTCAATGGAAAATAGCTGGGGGAATCCGAATGTAACGTCGGTAAGCCCCAGACTTCCAATGCCCCAAAATTTTAATATCATCCTCAGACACACCTGCCATAGCTGCAGACGTGGTTGGGCCTACGCGAAAAGAATGAGAGATTAATCTGGCGTTGTAAAGCCCTGTAAACTCAAGGGCACGACGGAGTGCCGCGACAAACTGGTAACGCGTGACACAACTCCGATCGAAATGTGAAAAAAATGGGCCAAGGGGGGATGTGGAACAGGAAAGAGGAGACCAAGTCGCCCGCACGGAGCACATCATGTTGTGGCAGCTATGCGCTGCTGGGATGGAAACTACATAACCATGGCCATATTGATCTGTTTTCGAGTGGCGTAGGATAAGTTCGACCCTTAAAGGGGAGTCTTTGACGGTAATATCAGACCGACACAACGGGCTAGAGATTGGTAGGATTGGGCAGTAAATTCCCCAATGTGAAGGAACCCAAAAAACGCAAGTAAAAAAGCCTCTCGGAAAAGTCAACCTCAAAATTACTCAAGCAAATAGCCTGCAAGGCTGGGACCATACGACATAAAATATCATAAGTGATAGGGCGCCGTCTGTCGCGACGACTACTACGCCTACGACATCCCTCCAGTAAACGTTTGACCAGAAAATGCTTAGTTAAATCAGGATAATTCATTAACTACAAATTGGAGGAAACCCCCGATACGTAAGAGGTAATCGTTGTAGGGGCATACCCATATACCGACAAAAATGCAGTAAATCGAACTATCTGAAGCAGGGAAGGGGAGTGCTCGGCATCGAAACCATGGGTTTGACTGAACCATTGAAAAAGATGCCAAGCCCTCTGATAAGACAAGTTCGTGTGGGGGGCCACCGCGTCATGCAAAAGACTCTGGACTTCTAACTGAAGACACTCCACAGGTTGTCGGCCAAGAGGGTTATATCGCGGTCTGCAGCGGGTGCGAGATGACAAAATCTGGTCATCTGAAAACGTGAAAGAGCATCAGCAATGCCATTATCCAGGCCTGGAACATGCTGAGATCGAAACTGGATATTGTATGTGAGACATGTCACCACGAGGCATTGCACCAAACACATCATTAAGTGATGTTTAGACGTTTGTCTGTTGATGGCACTAACTACATACAGCCTGATTGTCACAACAAAATATCACGTGTTTATTATGCAATGGGACAGCCCACTGCTGGACTGCCAGCACAATGGGGAATAACTCCAAGCAGAAGCATCAGTGTACATGTGCAATTGGTCACTATTATTCCATACCGAAAAAATTTTCGTTCCGCTGAAATGTGACAAAAAATGTTGCCACGCTAGCAAGTCTGTTCGTGCACCTGAAGTGATGCTAATTTTGTGATGAGGTTTGGAGATACCCCTAGCTAGATCATGCAAACGATGGAGAAAGTCCCTACTAGGTCTTACCGCATTATAAACAAAATTGAGACGACTTAGCAGACGACCTGCGTTACATGTAGGTTGACCAACTCTGGCGACTGGGTGCCAACAGGACCCGAAATTGGACCAGGGGCTGGAGGCAGTGGAGGGGGCACGCTCGCATTGCTGGTACGGACAAAATTGTGCTGGTGCGAAACGGGCACACCAAGCAGCATCAGCCAAAGTTCGGTATTACTAGTTGCCCAAGAGTGCGACGGCACACGCACCTGGCGCAATCGAAACTTGATGTCGTACTCATGCCAACCATAGAGAGTACAATGCAAAATTTTGTTGTATATCACAATTTGTAAGTCATGAAATAAGCACAAATTAAGGAAGAGACTAGAAAGAGTCTAGAAAGCACAAACAAATTTAAATGTTCAGTGCTGTTTGTACACAGTGTAGCCCCAAAATGAGTGTCAAGTAGTTTTCATACTTTTAAGAAGAGTATGAAGTTTCACAAGCAGTGATTCCAATTGAAATTAATCACCTGGAGTCTTTGTTCAAATTTCCTGGAAATATTTACATATGTAGATTTATGTGTACATGTAATAAAATAATTTAAGTACTTAGTCTAATAATTTACAGAATGTAACCTTTTTTCACCTAAATAATTTGTTCTTTTGTCCAATCATCTGGAGGAAATTTTTGCAATGTTTCACTGTATGAACTTCTTTCCTTCTGTTTCTCTTCTTTGCTTGTTTCTTAATTTTGCTGTGTACTGGAATATTGCAAATTTTGAGCAAAACTATGTTTTGAATTAATATCCCACCCATTGGAAGTTGAAGTCAAACCTGGATGCTATTGATTTTTTCAGTACTTGTCGTAATGCATTCACAATTCCTAATTCATAACTGTATTGAACATTACCTTTAAGTCAAATTGAATTCTTAATTCTGATTGGTTGATCCATGGCAACAATATATAACAGTATTGCACGATTCATATCAAACCCAGCATAGTGCGCTATTCTAACTCTGTGCATTGTGCTTTTTTGAGCTAAAAGCAAAACGCACGTCTATGAAGTTTACTATAAATTCAAAGGTGGTGTGTTTGCATGCATAGGCCCCATAACATCTTTACTATGTGCCAAGTTTGCTTGCAGATAAATTCATCATTATGCTTGTGCTCTTTGAACACGGAATAATGTAGTACATCTGTATCCTGTAAAACATGAGGCTGAAGTCTGAGTGGTATGGGATACTCATGCCCATGTGATAACTAATAGTGAAGCAAAACCACCCAAATGATGCTTGAGTTGACAGAAATATTACTCTCCAGTTTTCTTGTATGAACTGTTGAATCTTGCACAAACTTTCTATCACATAGGTTGAATTACCTCCTGCTGATCTTGGGCCAACTCCGACACTTACACAGAACTTGGCACTTCTGAGAGAGATACTTATGTCTCATGACTCATCAGTTGTTCCTTTGGATGCAAGACATGCTGATTTTGTCAAGGTATGTTACATTGCTAAATGCTGAAATCACAGAAAACTTGTCAGGAAAGAAGCAAAGTTTTGTCAGGCTAAGTCTCGACATATGTTTAGTCCTTAACCCTACTTCACTTAACATTTAAATGGTAAAACGTGCCAAGTTACATGGTCCCCGATATATACATGTAGGTGATCATATGTCCTGATAATGACTAAATGAGAATAACATCTTGTACATGTATTTTAGTTCGTGGTGGTAGGGTGTCCACAGAATGGCCAGAAATCATGTGTTATGTTCGTTCCGGTAAATGCTGTGCATGACCTAATCCACATCCCGTGACTGCTAACCATCCCCGATGCTACTTTTAGAGGGGGTTTCACTAATGGAGTCATCCAGGCAGTCACTGAAACGGCGGTTCAAACCTACACTCTCATATGTTTGTGCACAAAGTGCTTCTCCCATATGTTTGTACACAGACTCCCTACTGCTACTTGTCTGCTACATGTTTGTGAAGAAAATACCCTCTCCCCTCATGTAAAGTAAACCAGGCCACTGAGTCACTGCTTTTTATCATTGTTAACGTGTCTGGAGCCTTCTGGCTGGTGCCCAGCAGATAGTTTACTGACCTCCAGCTCCCTCCTCCCCAATGTGATTCTGACCACGTGGAAAAAATTCTGTGAGTGACCACGCAAAATGACACACACAGGCTTGTCTGAGATGTTTCCACCTTTTTTACTCAGAAAGCTAGCTGGAGAATGTGATTTATTAGTCCTTTGTAATATAGATATGATTTGGCCATAATTTGGACAGCGTGCCGCACAGTTGCCCAAATTGACTTACCTCCACCTCAAAGTGTTTTGTTTTAATTAAGTAATCTTCAGAATGGCAATATGTACTTTTATGATGCCTCAACACTTACGTTTTGTAAACTCAATGATTTTGCAACGTTTCAGTTCAAAATCAACCCTGCAGCCTTGAAAAGTCTTTCTTTTGTACACAACTGAAGAATGGAGGAGTCATTTGGCAAAACACAGCTACAATTCTAAAATTCTTGTCAACTTTTACAGATAAAGATGTACAAGAATACATACATGGTACATTTATATTGTGTAGTTGTCAGGAATTTCTGTGCCAATTACCTTGATAGTCACATAAACACTTTTATGCCGTTGCAGATAATGTTTTTAATTGTCCTCATTAGTGTGGATGCATCCAACACTGTCAGGGATCTCGATACCACTGGGAATTGATTAACCTTTTCACTGGTGCCAAAAACATGTAAAAGATGCCTTCTATTGCTATAGGTTACATGCGTAAGGTGGTTAATAATTCACTTTTAAAATTCATCAAGACATTAGATCTCACAGTAGAACATGACTGATATATTATCTATCTAAATCTTTTTCATCTATCTGTCTTTTAAAATGGAAATTATTAATTTGACAGTAGCACACAATTTAAGGAAATGGCAAAGCTATGTGGCCCCTGACATGTAAATGTGACAGAGTTTTAAAATGCATATTAAACACAATACATGGATGATGTGCCTTAATTTTCATGCTGCCATAAACTTCATGAAGCTAAAGTGTATTCTATAAAGTCCCAATAGGTGTAAGCCTTTTTAGTGAATACTCTATTTTAAATTCAAGCTTACCAAAAGAACTTGCATCTGCTGAGTAGAAACAAAAGTTAGCCTGCTTTTGCCAAGGCTTACCAAGTTGATTAATAAAAGATTGCCCCAACCTGCCAAGCTTACAAACTAACTATGACCATCAAAAAAAAGACAAAATATGACCTGGTAACCTGGACACATCAGTTGTGAGGGGCAAACGCCACCGAACCAAATTTCGAAGCCCACCTAGCTGTGAAGAATGAACTTTGATGTAGAAAATCACAGGGAGGAAAAACTTTAATCATGTCCTGGATCGTGGTGGCTCTGTCCATTGGCATTGCATTTGGGCGAGTAAACTTACTCCCCCATTAGCTGGGTCTGGGCATTTGACATTCACCCCCAGTTCCTGTGCTCTGAATCCCTCTGGCGGTCTCCTCAGCATCTATCGTGGAAGATGTGTATTCACTGTATAGCTCCCCAATCTACACATCGGGACCTTGCAGTACTGGTACTCATACTCCATAAAGATGGTGTCATATAAATGAACCATTCACATTATCCAAGAAGTCTTTCCTGAATGTTTACACTTAAAACTCATGGCATGCAGGCCAATTTAGCAGGCTCATTGGTAAGGCATGACACCAAACCGGAGCGAGCATGAAATGTGTGCAGCTGTGGAGCAAACCAATTACACACTGATGGCCTCTTGCACCCTCATGCTTGCAGCGATGCAAATAGGAGACAGGCTACTCTTTCCAAGTATTACAAAATCCAAAAATTTACCTCCACCTCAGTAAGACTTTGAACCCTCAAAGTAGGAAAGAGCAGGATGCGGCTTTACTCTTATTTTGCTCTGATGGGTAACATATGTTCTATGTAAAGTTTTAATGTTGTAAGACTTTGTTAATGCCCCAAATACCAACAAGAAAAATATGTGTACAAAGTCTGTGGGATATGGGATAGCAGACCAAGGGAAAAAAAAATTAAAAATAAAATAAAGAAAATAAGTAGAAAAACAATGCATTCTCCGCAAGGCGAAAAGAAAAAATAAAAAGGAAAAGGTGTGTGCTGAATTTTTTTCTTTAATGCAATATTTCAGAAAGGACCTCTTAGCACTGACATGACAATGTGCGAATTGTGGACGATCGATGTGGATGGACAGCATATTTACGGCAATTTATGAACTAGGTTGAACATTTTTCACATGGTATGCACTAAAATATAATACATCAGTACAAATTCTCTTAAAAAACTGTGGACTCAATGTGCAGGCAATCCATCCTATTATAATGCATGCATGTGCACACTCAAGCTGAATAGAGCTACCGCTAAAAGGGGCTTTTTATTGCCGCATGTGTCAGACACAAGATGAATGAAGTCTTACACCAGCGCAAGTTTAATTCTTTTGTTATCGTACGGCCAGAGCAGTTTTAATTCCAGATCGATAACAATAGCATTTTATGTAAGTGATAGTTTAGCATATCCCCGGGCGAAGCGTAAACGGTGAGACAACATTGTAAATAAGCTAAACTAAGCAAGTCCCGGTCAAAGCGTAATCCGCGGACTGTAACTGGCTCAACTTATCAAATCCCCTGTCGAAGCTCAAGCCGCGAGACAACAGTATAAGACAAATAATCATAGCTGGTCTCCGGTCGAAGTGTGAGCCAGGAGACAACAGTATAAGACAATTAAATATTGCAAGTCTCCGGTTGACGGGTAATCCACAGGACAACAGTATAAGACAATTAAACATGGTAAGTCCCAGGTTGAAGCGTGAGCCGCGAGACAACAGTATAAGACAATTAAAGACAAATTAAAGTGAGGTAATAACGCTCGGGTGACGGTAAAAATTTGTTTAATCCCCTCGATCATTGATTTCTTGGGGACGTTGCCCAGATCGTTGGAGCAAACGTGTATGATGATCCATGTTGGCAATGCTTACTCCGCCATCCAGCAGCTGTGAAGGAAGTCGTTGAATTGGTCCAGCTGCAGGCCCCACCGACCCATCCAACAAACAGTTGCCAGCCCGTCAAATGCCCCAAGGAGAGGATAATGCTGCACGGGAGGTCCAGTGGATGAAAGAGTCACCAACCACCCTGACAAGGGGCTTGTTGTCGATCGGCAGATTTGCTAATGGAAGTAAAAAAGAAATCAAATAGCTATCAATACTTAATGAAAATTTAGCGTATGGTTTGAATCACGGTTGTTTTTGGCGTGGAATAACATGACCCCAATGTACAAAGCAGCCACAACTTTAAAAGCAGCATCATGGGAGAAGCTCACTGCTAATACGAATATAGTGGTGGTAAACCCTGACTGCCAACGACCCATCTGTTGGATCTCATTGTCAGGGATTCCCGCCATTGCCGCTGCTGTGGCCGCACCAATCCGGAAGGAATGAGAGGTATATCGGGTATCATGTATGCCAACAAAGTCAAGGACCCGCCTTAAAAACAGCTGTGAATTGAGAACATGTAACTGGAGAACCATCAAAATGGGATAAGAAATTGCTGAAATGCTGAGGACACCTGCTGAGGAACTGTGTAGTGACCTGAACAGGGCACAGGGAAAATTCACCCTCAGAAACAGCACGTATTGGAATGACACAACCCTGACCGTACTGGTCGGTCTTGAGAAACTAATGTTTAGATTAACCACACTGCCAGAAGAGGTACGACAAAGGATAACATCAGAACGACGTAAAGTTGAAATTCCAGATTGAGTAGACGCCGTGAGTTCATCGACGTGCAGAAAACCCAAAAAATGCTAACAGGAAAGCCACTCAAAACAGTAGGGCTTCATACTGATTGGTACAAACAGAGTGCAAAGCAGGAAGAATATGCCGCAGTAAAACAATCGTAATAGGGCGGCGTTGATCGCGCCGATCTACCGGCGGCAACCATCTAACATTCATTTCACAATAAAATGGTTAATTATGTCATGGGAACCCTGAAAGCGGAGTGAAGACACAATCCCTGAGACATACGATGCAACAGTAGCCAGAGCGTACCCATTAATAGACAAAACTGCAATAAAGTGCACGAGCTGCTGCAATGTGGGACTAGAAGATGTATTAAGAAAACCATGGCGGGAAATGAACCAACAGAAAACTTGCCAAGCACATTGGTAAACTGAATGGGTACACGGGGCGACTGAGTCCAGCAAAAGATTTGGAAACTCTAAATTAAGTTGTTCCAAAGGTCTGCAGGCAAGGGTATCATAACGGGGGCGGCCGCCTGTGCCAGCCGCTGGAAATGATCCATCTGAAAACGAGATAGAGCGTCAGCGATGCCATTATACCAGGTACATGGTGTGCCTTAAAGTGGATATTCAACCTCAAACAAAGCACTACAAACATGTGAACCAATTTCATAATTCTGGGACACCTTGATGTTTGGCTATTGATAGTTGCCACCACAGCCTCATTATCACACCAAAATATGACTCGCTGGTTTTGCAAGGCCGGGCCCCATAAGCGCAACGCAAGGGTGATCGGGAAAAGTTTGAGAAAGGCAATGGACAAATTCAAGGAGCGCCATTTTAGTGGCCACATGCCTTGCGTCCAACTCCCATTAAAGAAAGCTCCGAAACCGAACTGCCGGGATGCATCCGTATACAAGTGCAAGTTGCCGCTAGAATACCATACCTCCTGAGGAAAAATAACCGAACCATTAAAATGGAACAAAAATTCCCGCCAAGCCAGCATGTCGGCCCACGCTCCAGAGGAAATACGGATACGATGATGTGGTTTCTGAATGCCGCTTGTGAGATGGAAGAGACGACGCAAGAAGGCCCGGCCCGGCCGTATCACCTTACAAACGAAATTTAGGCTACCCAGCAATGATTGAAGCTCTCGTAGGGTGATCTTACGCTTGGACAAAGTGCAATCCAACTTCGCCATAATTGCAAGAACCTTGGCTGTAGGAACCCAAATCTGCTGGGAAACTGTATCAATCGTTAAGCCCAGGAAATCTAAGCTTGTCACTGGCCCCACTGTTTTGTCACTGGCCAAAGGAACACCAAAGTCCCGGCAAACTACTGTGAAAGAAGTAAGCGCATGTGCACACTCGTTGGATTGTCCTTCGCCCACAAAGAGAAAAATCATCCAAATAGTGCAGAATGTGTGGAGTAGCTGCAACCTTGCAAGTGCAATACTTGAGAAAGGTGCTAAATCGTTCAAATGTGGCACAAGAAATGGAGCAACCTATGGGCATACACTTGTCATAATAAAATAAACCGTCAAATGAAAAACCCAGTAAATCATAGTCTTCAAAATGAACAGGTTATAAACGAAAAGCCGATTTAATATCTGACTTGGCCAGAAGGGCTCTGGGACCCAAACTAGAAACCAATTCAACAGCATTGTCAAAAGTCGTATAAGACAACGCAGCCCTGGCTGAGTCAATATGGTTATTAACTGAATCACCCAAAGGAGACGGAAGATTATGAATTAAACGGAACTCGCCAGGGGTTTGTTTTGGCACTAAACCTATTGGAGAACAACGAAAATTAGGAAAAGGTGGACTGGGGAACGGGCCAGCAATCCTACCCAAATGTAACTCACGGTCAATTTTGCCTTGCACTACACTACCTCTCTATTTTGTCGAGCAGAGACCAAACTACGGGCAGAAGTGCTAACCCAAGGATCCGTATACCCTATACAGAAACCTGACGTAAAACCCTCTAACAGTACATGAGCGTCATGCCTGTCACCATATGATGCCAGAAAGGGGCACAGTTTATTTATTATTACTGGCATTGGGTGGTGTGGTTGGACCAAGTGGTCCCTGCACCGAGTGAGGGCCACCACGGCATGAGGCAGCAGAATGGCCGACGGACAAGCAGGTTGCACATTTGTGGGCAAAACGACAGGCAGGTCTGAAGCAGTGGCCGCAGTTAAAATCGAAACAGATTCCAGTATTGTGATTGCGGTAGGCGGTCCGGCTTGACCCAATGTTGGTGTGACCGATTGCCCGTTGGTGGTTGCCCTGGTTGGAATAGGGACAAAAAGTGGCTTGGTGGATGGGCGCACCGACCAACATTAGCCATAGTTCAGCGTCAATGCTGGACCATGACCGAGACAGCATGCGTGCTTGGCGTAACCTGAATTGAATATCATAGTCGCGCCAACCATAGCCTCCTCGCCGAAAAGCAGCCAAACTGACAATGTCGCCATATTTTAGCAACTGCCTTGCCTGAGTAGGGTGCCGCATCAAATAGATCGATGCAAAAATTAGAAAAGCCGAGGTCCACTGTTCAATTGAGGTGATCCGAGGGGGTTGATTGATTTTGGGGACGAATTCGCCATGCTGGGGAATCGTGCGACCAAATAGTAAACACGCAGTCACTGGCATTATTGACACTGTTAGGGGGCTGCAAAAGAGGCACAAAATCTACAAATTTCCCATTCCAAATTTTGTCCCGAAGGTGTTGAGAAACCCCTGACCCAAGATCATCGCAAAAACTTGTTAGGGGCGTGACATCGCCACCCCCTATGCCCGACGAAGTGGTAACAGACATAACCGAATGAACAATAGAGGGAGACGTAACCGAAATGGCCAGGCCATCAGGGGCAGATGTGATAGAAACTACTGGTCTAAGCGTTAGCTCTGACAGTATAGAAAGAGACTCACCCGATGACACAGCAGTCGTCTCTGGGACAGGAGCCAAAGATTCGCTCGGAACAGCAGCCAGCGCGATGCGGTCCGAACGAGGCCTCCTCCTTGGTCTCGACCCCTCAGCGCTGGCAGGATGCGACATTGTCTTCCCAAATAACTGGAAGGGGCTGCACTAAACGTGGTATACTCTCCAAAGTTGCAAACGAAATGCAGAATATAGCAGACGACTAAACTTACGAAGGATACTTTGCAAATTTACAACAACTGACACTGATTATTTATCTAATAATAAACCAAACGAACCGACCTAGCAAACTGCTCAGACAAAAGTGACCAGCACACACATTGGTTTTGCCTATGAAGTGCCTGTGTGGTAAGCGGAGGAATTTACTCCAGCAACCCAGCCTAGCAGCAATAAACTATTTGAAGCCCCAATGGTCTTAAAATGAATTAAATATCAAAACAATCAAATGTGTATAAATTCATCCAATACCTTTAGTGCACACCTGATGGTCACCACAATAGTATCAAAATGCATACTTCAACAGATTCAAATAAATATTTCTAAAGCACCCTGATTTTGTAATTCTTTCCCTAAAAGTATAATTTAATCAGAGACGTCCCCGATTCTTAGGTGTCCCAGGTTTGAAGGTGTGTATTTTGACAAATGTCTGCATTAGTAAAGTTAAAGGCCTTTTTATCACTGTGTCCTCTGACAAAAAAGCTGACAGGATTCCGTGTGTTTAGTCTGGATGTCAGGCTAACCATCTGTGTTCATGCTAATTGGCCTCAGTGGTATAAATCTGTGTTGGGGGAGGGATTGGGAAAAGTTGGGGGGGTTGATTTGCCCCATAGACACTATGTGGGGGCGATGTTCATAATACAGATGTGCATCTGTAATGTGTATCATATTTATGCAGAATTTTTCATCAGAATGGCATATTTATGGCTCTTTAAAATTGCTTTCCCTTTTTAGTGATATTGCAAAAATTTCAGTCGTTGCAAAATCCTGTAAATTCTTCATGATCTGCTTAAATTTTTTTGCTCATCTCAAAAAGTGGTGGGATAATTCTACAGCCCATCCCCCACCTCAAAAGAGGGGGTGTATAGATACCCATCGCCCCAGGATTTACGCCCATAATTGATTAGAGAAAATGCCCAAAAGTAGGTTCACACTTTTCAAATTTCAGCTATTCAGCATTGGTCACATTGAGCAAATGAGTTCAAACTTAGGCATTGGTAATCTGACGTAAGTATGTATTTTTTTTAGTATTGCAACTGCCTTCACGTGTACCTTTACAATATACATATGTGTATCTGATAAATAGATACTTAGCTGCATGATGGATCCCCTACTTCAGATGTGTTCACTGTCAGCTAGTCGACTGAATCCATGTGACATGGCAGCATATATGATCAACTGTCTCTATGCCATGCAGTCCTGCTTGGTTCTTTATGAATTTACAGACCAACGCTTGGAAATGCTTGCAGCTCAGGTACATGTTTAAGTGTGAAGTAAAGTGTAGTGCTTTAAGTGGCATACGGAATGAGGATTTTTTGAGGGAGGGGTTCATGAGAAAAGTATTTATGGGTTGTTTTAAACTAGTACGTTTTAATCTGGATAGAGGCCTGTCACAAGTAATACACTTTGCCTTTTCTTGATCATTATCATTCCATGCCGTTACTCAATTTAAAACAAACCATGTCAAAACAGCACAGTAACTTTTTAGTTTCTTATCCAAACTGTTATTAATGGTTTGAAAAGAAACTTGTTGAATTCATACTAAAATGTTTATCATGTCATGAAATGTACCTCAATGAGTGTGACTTAGAATATTTCATTTAAGGTGGTGCTGTTTCAAATAACATTTTCAGGATATACTCGTACATGAACCAAGAGGAGTATTTTATCATTAATCAATCATCTCTATCTGTTACAAGCCGTCTAAATGTTCCTTGTAGTTACAGTCTGGTTAAAAAAGGTGTCTTCTGATTTTTTTTCTAAAACTCTACAAATTTCATATTGTTTCATTTCTCTTACCAAAGGCAGAGATAGAAAAAGGCTATGACTGAAAAATTTAGTATGGAGAGAATCTTTCTGAGACCACACACTAGTCAGTGTAAATACTGGGAAAATTATCGTTTTTCTTGCTTCTGTGAAATTTTATTTTTCATCACTCATTCATGTACATGTATCTGTGCTTCAGTGTCCCTGCAAATACAGCTGGGCTGTAGTAACACTCAAGGTGTACAATTATTGCTATATATTTATGTAAATATGGGTATTTCACTTGTTAGCTTTCATGTAAAATTTACACCAAGTCTTCCTTTGTTTGTATTTTGTTTGTGCAGATAGCAGCCCATCAAGATACATTGGTCAATGAGCAAGCTGCGTATGTGCTTTCAAAAGTTTCTCTGATCCAAGTGTACAGTATTGCTCAACAGCACAAACTGTCTGAGGTAAGTGGAAACCAAAGATCACATAGTGCTGTGTAGCAGTGTAACATGGGGGAATCTAACATGTGTTACATTGAAATTCGACTTAGGGCCATTTAAGCTAGCAAACCGTAGACATAGTAACTCGATGTAACCTAGCCATTAACATAAGAGGAATGAAATCTGGACCCTTATAGGGCTACAGAATAAACTATTTCATCTTGGCATATTTTGTCCATGACATACATGTAGGAGGTATAAAGGTTCATTAGTGTTTAGTCATTAATGTAAAACAGTCTCTGTTGAATATAACATTAAAAGAAAAAAAATGAAATTCCTTTAATCAGCTTCACATGAACTGGGGAAAATAAAACTCCTACCTGCGATTGTCAATCAGTAAACATTGACAGTAAACGTTGTCATATGAAATGCTGCTACCAGGCTCACATCCATTCCCACCGTCTTCAGTTTTTCACATTTTCATCTGGACAGAAATTTGGGAGGGGTTAATTTTCTTGAAACCAAAGAAAAAAATGTTTATAGGCTCCCAATTCTCCAGTGGTACATCCCATTCCCAGGGATGTGCATCACTTTTTTCACCTGACAATTTTGATTTTCATCAACTGGGAGTTTTGTTCAGTAAGAGAACACCACTCGAAAAGAAATAGAACATATACAAATGAATACATTTCACAGCATGTACCCTGTATTTTATTAACTGACGATTCAAATTTATTCTGTACTAGTAAAAACATTAGTCAATCTATTGACACTGTAAATTTGGAACTTGTTTTAATATCTGACTGGATAAAAGCAAACAAACATTTATTAAATGGGAAAAAGACAAATTGTATGTTAGTAATTCCTTTCAATCATTACCAATGCATATTGTTATTAACAACAAAATCACCATTCATTTCTATATATAAACCAAGATCAAGCAACTATTAAAGGACCTGACTCCCTTTGCCTGTTCAATTCCTGTTTTGGTTGATGGATCAAGTCCTTTATGATTCTGGGAACTGTTTTATAAAAGCAATGATATTTATTCATGAAATATTTATTCTTCGAAGCATTATTATCCCTTGTGATCTTTGCACAAACATGTAGCTTATATGATTTTCATTCTTTTCTTTTTAATAATCACCATGTTTCAGTTCATTTTAGTTCATTTGTATTTTATTGTTATTGTCATTCAGTTTATTTCTTTACATTTCAACATTCGCTTTCATTTCATTTATTTATTTTGCAGGTAAAAATCGACGATCAAAGTACATGTACATACAAGGAAATAATTACAAAATGTAGTAAAAACTGTCACAAAAAGAAAGCACAAGTCGCGCCCCTTCAAGGTTGCAAATAGCAAACTTAATTACCACCTAGTTGCCCTCCTATAATTTAATATAAATGTAAATAATATACATGCTTAAAGCATGTAGTTTTCCATATTTCCAGCTTTCCATATTATTTTGTTTAATGACATTGCCTTTAGCATCAACTTCAAAAATTGTGAGCCCGTATATTTAAATTAAAATTATATATCTAAAGTTTCAATACTTACCTTCATGCAAACTCACATTCATTGTCTTGTAATCTATGTGTACGTGTTTGCATACATTTATCTAAGGTTTATGTTGTGACAGAGTCGTTTCCGGATGGCTGGCTGGCCTCCCTCTGTCCTTGTCATGATAGTTGGTTGACTGCACAATTATGCACATGAAAAAGGAGGGCACAGTTGTTGGATAGCACACAAATGCAACTGTGCATCCTTCGTTATGCTGCTTACCAGCTGACCCAGTGAATTACTTGCACGTAGGAAGGTGTTGAAAAGTACTTCACTGGCTAATAATATCTCAGAAACTACATATGTACTTAAAATGGAATGTTGGTATTTTTTACAAAAGAAAACCTATAAGGGATTAAGTGACACAGTCATTCGGAATACCCAGTGCAAACAATGTCATGGATCTGTATGAGGTGTATACATGTAGTTTGATGTTGGTTCACATTGATCATTAACACAGTTGTTCTTGTGTGAAAACCTTTGTGGAATTACACCACATTATTATTTGTCTTTTTCTTTCAGGGTCCTCTTTCATTAGTGCATGGTATGGATGCAGTGGCACTTAAAACTGCAATGGTAAGATAGTTGATGAAATTTGTATCAATAACCTAGGGCTGGGTCAATTTGAACATTCGATCTTATGGACAGCAGAATTTCGAGGTAAAGAGCATGCCCAAAGTTATTTCAAGGAAATGACCTGACTGCTTGTACTTGAGCTCAGGTTGGATGCTTCAAAAGCCAGTGTTGTAACAAGTCTCAAGTCAAAATTTTTCAAGTCAAGTCTCGAGCCAATTTTTTCCAAGTCAATTTTCAAGTAAATTACTTTTCAATCAAGTTTTCACTTTTTTGAAGTTGGTGCTCCAAGTTTTTAAGACAAATTTTAGAGAATGGAAAAACAACCCAAAAAAAGATTTTCTATGGTCTCAAGCTAAACAAATAATGGTCTTCAAGTTGGAGGGAAGAATACACTTTTTCCCAAACAATTGAAAAAGCAGTATCCCTTACCATTAGCGCTAGCCAAGGACAGGGGACTTCATAGTCGGTAAATTGTTAGTTGGGGGAGTTGAGACTTCTCAGTTCTGAATCCGAAAGGTCGGCAGATCCAACCAACTTAAAAAAAAATCTCGCCTTATATCCATGCAAGCTCTACATGGTTCCCATTTGAACAGTTGCTAACATGCAGTGTAAGTCGACAAGATGTATGGGAACCAGTTTACATGTGTGCCTGTCGAAGTG